TCAATTAATTCCTGTTTAGCATACTCTGCCCGACTCTGCACACTTCCATCTTGCTGAAGGTGATGTGACTTTTATTCAGAGAATTCATATTCCTCCTTGGAAGACTGCTTTCACTCTCCCAGCTCTTCAGCATCTCTCGCACCCCCGTTTGTCTGCTGCCACTGTGTAGGGCACAGCATGCAAATATTATGCAGCATGCTCTGTCTGGACTGCACTACAAGTCCTTAGATCGATTCAGTCATTGAAACATCACCTTTATGTGGCCCTGATTAAAGAATGAATTGTATTTTCTTGACTCGCCACTCAGTAAATGGGTTGTATTGTTGAATCATCAGATATGGTTGCAGATAGAACATAGCCCGTTTACCAGTAACCAGCCTTGTAACCATTCAGCCCTTGAAATGAAACAGGAACAGGAGTGTTCTCGAGGATATAGGTATCATTGCAGCTTCAAGGGTACCTGGAACAGAATTCTGGGATGTGATACCGATGATCATTGATGATTTGTGCAAGGGGTGGAAAGGAAACTTTTTTGATTGATGAAATCAGCTGTGTTATGATATGGTGCTTTCAACGTGGTGTGCACAGTCTATAGTGCTGTACCCCTGGGGAAAGTTAGCTATGTTTGCAAAGACTATTGCCCAAGCTGCAACATTGACCTCATCATGGGGAAATGAGATATGATTTGGCACAAATTGCGTTGGTAACAGTCTTGAAACAGTCTTGAAATGTTTGTGGGTGGAAGGTTGGGTGATCCCACACAGGTACACATTGCATCTTTGGTTGCAGCCTGTTGACACAGCTTAGCAGCTACGCATCCCTTCTGGGTGCAGTACCTGTTCCAGTAGATGAAAGTTTTCTTTGACAGTTTCAAGGGACATCTGCATTAGTTTTTAGTGATTAGTTTTGCTTAACAGAGATTGCTATGATCAAGTTGTCTGACCAAATGCATTATCAAGCCTGCTTGTGGCCAGGATTTATTTCATATATAGCTGGCCACTTTGTATGCAGGATTCTATGATTAAGATAGCTGGCATTTGTTAGTTTGTATTTTTCCAGAATTTGTCAAAAAAGATTATGATCTGTGTACACTAGGATGATTTTCAATATTGTAAAATCTTTCTGACACTTCTCTGTTTGCCCAACTATGTTATTAATTTTTTTAAAGATGTGTAAATTATCAGGGCACCCAGGCACATTGCACAAATGCTGCATTCAGCAATTATCTGGATTGTCAGCATCTTGAAGGTGGTTTTGGACATTGCTTTCTTTTTTTCTACCAGTGTACATGATCTCATATCAGTATGGGTTATCAGAGGTGACAAAGCTAAGATTTCTTGTGCTGTGAATGTCATGAATCTTCCCAGAATCCTTTTAAAATGGTGTCTTTTTCTGATATAGACTGAATGGTCCACCATGTCTATACATTCCTCAGTTCATAGATTGGGAATGGAGTCTTATCTAGCCACAATATTACTTCCCAGTAAGTAATGTGGAACTATTTTGATTTGTCTGTCTCCAGGACAAGATCATTAAGGATTCTCTGGCTAGGCTTAATTGTATTGATGTCCGGCATGTACAGGATTTTCTGCCTGACTTGGGTTAATTTGTTGGGACTCAGCTGGTAAGGCTTTTGAATTATTGGTCGTATCTCCTATGTCCAAGTCATAGACTACAATGGGTACATTCCAGTAGGTCCCAGTGGATTTCCAGGGGATGCTAATTAGCCATCTAAATTTAAGAATCAGGTGACTGGTGGGTGGGGTTCAACTGGGAAGGTGTCCTGTCCCTCCTCCTCATCTGACTTAACTTGACTACCCTCAGTTGTGTCCATCTTTTGGAAGATTCTCACTTGCTGGATTCTGAATTTAATTCTGTTTTGTCTGCATTTGAACCCCTCTTCTAGTGATTACAAATACAGTGAAGCTTCAGGTTTAGCACTGCTCTCTGTTCTGTTATACATAGAAATATAGGAAATAGGAGCAGAAGTAGGTCATTTGGCCCTATGACCATGCTTCGCCATTCAATATGACCATGGCTGATTATCCAACTCAGTTTTCTGGTATGTGTGCCTGATTCTCCAGATCCCTCTATGGTTTAAATGAAAGGACATTTTGCTTGAAAAATAAGTTTAAATTATAGAGAAATCTGGAGGGTCAGCTTTACATAATCCAAAGTAGTAATGCATGTTAATGAGATGATAACACAATTTGATACCCTGGAGCTAATGTCTAGAATTAAAAGCAGGAATGTCCTATGAATTTTACATTGGTCAGACAATAACTGGAAGACATGTGAAGTTCAGATCGCCATGTGATAAAACTAGGCATTGGAAAAGAGGTACAAATGTTTCATTTTGTCTAAACAGGCTTTGCATAAGAATATAATTTGGCAAACCTTTGTAAGCAGCTTGAAGTACATTATTGCTTGTCAATGAATGCATTAAATTTTCAAACTTTTATTCATATTCAAACAATACCAACATTTTCTAAATGCTTTAAATGGACTGGTCTTCATGAGAGGATCTGAAGGTCCAATTCTTAAATTCTTCAATAATGAACTCAACTGAGAAGAGGGTAAACAAAGGTTTCCAGGCATGCAATTATTAGAGTTGCTTATTTGTCAAGGAATTGACAGTAACAGTTCAGTGTTATCTTTGGAAGAGTCAAAGACTGAAATATTGCCATGACAAAATGTCATGGGATGACTTAAATATGAGAAATTTTGCCATTTTTGTTTTTGGGGTTCAAATTGATACTGGGTCAGAATTGCTCATTGCCACTTGTCAAGCCCACCATTTAATTAAAAAATATCAGATGCTCACAGGATCACCATTTTTCATTTGGCTGCCAGCCCAGCTATAAAGATGTGCATATGGGCACTTCTCATTCTCTAGATATGCGCAAGCATCTGTCAAAAGCATACCGCGCATGCTCCTTGTTGTCAGCAAACATCCATACAGTAAGAGACCTTTCAGACAGAATGAAATCAATAGATAAGGAAAGGATAAGAAATATTTGCAGAAAAGCCAGCAGAAAGTTCAAAGACAGATAACAGTATTAAATAAATCAGACAACATCAGACAAAACAAGAAAATGTTCTTTTGAGCAAGCAGTGCTCTAACAGCAGGAAGTTCAATCACTTTGTATGTAAGTGTTTAGTTAGAAAAAACCAGAAAAAGCCAATAAAGATGGCTGCTGGAGAGATATCAGCCAACCATATTGAAAAATTTCTTCACTGTACAAAAGGTTGGCATCATCAAGTCTAAGAGTGATGAAATAAAGAAACCCAACAGAGGCATATAAAAGGCAAACTTCTTTCTCAAATAATGTATGCAGTCCAAGAAGTTGCAATGTCAGTCTAGGCTGCGTACAGCTCAGCCAGAGATTTTGTCAATCATAAGTTGGGGCTGTCATTGAAGTTAGTCTTGGAGGTGGATGACAATCAGCCTTGAGGGGCAGCTCAATGAAAGTCAAAAGTTATCAGCGGCTACTGCTTTGATAGGGAAACTGAATAATTCAATTCTGGGGATTGGAGGCAGCATACTGAGCTGCAGAAGGGGCAAGAATTGTGAAGAAGGAAACTGAACAAATGATGGGTGCTGAAGATAATGCATTGGAGGACATGGGAAGCTGTGGGATTGGGAGTGACAGTCACCACCACCTGGCCACGATGCAGAAACAATGTGTGGAATGTTTGGCATGAGTATAGGGCTACTCTAGATGTAGTCTTACCAAGACTCTGTACAATTGCAGCAAGACATTCCTGCTGTGGTATTTGAAACCTCACACTTTGAAGGCCCACATCCTATTTGCCTTCTTCACCACCTGCTGCACCTACATGAGTACTTTCAGCAACTAGTGTATTTGGACACTCAGTCTCATTGCACATCCTGCATTCCCAATCTATCACCATTCAGATAATAACCTGTTTTAGCGACCAAAGTGGACAACCTCACATTTATCCACATTATACTTCATGTGCCATACATTTGAACACTCACTGAAGCATCTTTGCATCCTCCTTACAACTCACCTCCCACCCAGCTTTGAGTCATCTGCATGTTTGGACATATTACATTTAGTTTCTTCATCTAAATGATTAATATATATTGTGAATAGTTGGATTCAAGCCCTGATCCCTGCAGTACCCCACTATTCACTGCATGCCACTTGGAAAATGACCCTTTTATTCCGACTCTTTGTTTCCTGTTTGCCAACCAATTCTCTATCAATGTCAGTACACTATCCCCAATCCCATGCTCTTAAATTTTACATATTAACTTTTTGTCCGGGAACTTATTGAAAGCCTTCTGAAAATTTAAGTAAAGCATGTCCATTGGTTCCTTCTTATCAACTCTACTCGTTACATCCTCAAAAAATTCCAGTCAATTTTTCAAGCATGATTTTCCTTTCAAAAATCCATGCTGATTGTGTCCTGTTATTGTTTTCCAAATGCTCTGCTATTAAATCATTTATAATAGACTCTAGCATTTTCCCACCATCGATTCCAGGCTAACCACTCTATAATTCATTGTTTTCTTTCTATCTCCTTTTTTAAATAGTGGGGTTACATTAACAATCTTCCAATCTAAAGCAGCTATTCCAGAATCTATAAAGATTCTAAAAGATGACCACCAAGGCATCCACTACTTTTAGGACACCTTCCTTAAATATTCCGTGATGTAGATTGTCTGGCCCTGTGGGTTTATCGGGTTTATCGCCTTTAATCCCATCAATTTTCCAAACACCATTTCCCTATTAATACTGATTGTTCCAGTTCCTACCTCTCAATAGACCCAAGGTCCCCCAACATTTTTGAGACATTACTTGTGTCCTCCTTTTTGAAAATAGAACCAAAGTAAGTTTTTAATTTGTCAGCCTTCTCTTTGTTCCCCATTATAACATAATCTGTTTCCGACTGACAGGAGGTCCAGAGTCTATCATCCTTAATGCCATTTCCTCCAGATGAGTGAGGCACAGAGTTGGCACAGACTAAAGATGTCACAGAACAGAACAGTATCACAGTATTATGTGACTGTGTTACTGGAACAGGATCTGCAACTTGAAGGAGTGAGTGGCTGTTGTACCTTGATGGCCATCAAAGTGACAGCTGTGCTAAGCTTTTATGCAACTGCTGCTTCTAAGGATCCATTGGGAATATATGTGGGATCTCTCAACCTTTGACCACAAATGCATCAAGGCTGTTACTCATGCAATTTGTGTCAGATCACATTATTTCATCTTATTTTTCCAAAACTGGATTCCCTCAGGTATAGGACCCTCTATATACATATGTTGCATTGAGAGTGCTGTATCATCTGACACATCTGACTTCATCAATAGAAAATGGTTCAATTTCATCAATGTGCAAGTCACTGTGATCAGCGGTACCACATCTTAGAAGTCTGTGTCAAGTATCCTGTGAGCTGCCATGACGCCTATATCCTTGAGAACTTTCATGTTCCTGCTTCATTTTAAAGACCAGATGCCTTACAAGGATGGTTACTTGGAGACAAGGGCTATAGTCTGTGACCATACTGATGATTCCATTATGTATTCCCTTGTTTCAAGAGTGAGAAAGAGTGTAGACACAATGCAGCCCTGTCTTCGACCAGCCTCTGGGTGGAGCAGATGTTAGGCTTTCTGAGGCAGAAGTTCTGACGCTTGGATCAGACTGAGGGGCCTTCCAGTATAGATAGATTGTGCTGTATAATCCTAGCATGCTATACTCTGCACAACTCAAACAGTCAAAAACAATGTGATGGTTTCCGAAAAGCTGAGAGAGTGGGAGAAGTCTTGCAAGGAGAAAGATGAAGACATTGAGCAGGAGGAACATCACCTGCTGCACAAAACCAGTTCCAGCAGATGAGAACTGGGTGCAGTGATCACTTATGCACTGTGAATTTGTTCTTTGCCAAAGTCAAACAGTTCTTGTTTGTTACCAGAGGCAAATGCAGCTTCTTTTTTGTTGTTGTTTGATTTTTGCTGTTTAGCAGTAGAAATCAGTGTTATGACAATAAAAAGTTTTCCTGTACATGATGGTCCCATATTGAATATTGAGAGGATGTTAAGCTACATTGAGCATTGGGGCTAGAGTAGAACACTTACAAAAGCGTTGTAAAATGAAATGAGGCTATGGATGAGTAAACTGTAGCTCGATTTATAAGTTGCAATAAATGTATGAATGTACACTTGAATGTGTAATGCAGTGCTCACTATGCCACCTATATGCCCTGAGAAGCATTGGTTTGTGGTTGCTTTCCTCTACATGCATGCTGAAGGTCACTTCTGGACTGCCAATGCTTGACCAGGTTTACAGAAAGACTCTAAAGGTGGTGCCAGTACCACCGATCACAAGATATCCCAGCAATAGCGAGTACTGCCATTCACGACATGTGGAAAAATAGTGTCAGCGGGCACTCTAGGTGTCTAATGCATAACAGATCAGACAAGTTTGGAAAGATAATGAGAGAAAACTTCATGAGATAAACCCTCCATGAAACTCACCAAAATTGACACATCTGATTTCTGCTAAAATTCAGTCCGTTGTTACATTACTGGATACTAAAGGGGATTGACAAAATACACAGAGAGTTGATATTTCCCCTTGTGGGGCAATCTAGAACAAGAAGTCATTGTCTTAGGCTAAGGGATGTCAGATTTAAAAAAGAGATGAGGAGGAATTACTTCTTTCAAAGGGTGTGAATTTCTATGGATTTCACTATCCCAGAATGTGGTTGATGGCAGGACACTGAATAAATGTGAGGAGGAGATGGACAAATTTTTAATTAGTAATGGGCTAAGGGTTCTGGGATGTGGGCAGGAAAGTGGTGTTGAGCCTGGGATGAGATCAGCCATGATCATGTTAAATAGTGGAGCTGGCTGAAGAGACTGAATTGCCTACTCCTAGTTCTTATGTATAGATTTCATTTGATTTTTACTTCTTTCTAATTTCAGAATTTCGAATCAGATGAAGCATGTCAATTTTTTACTTCTACTTTGAACTCGTCAACTGAATCAGTGGTACAAGAACACAAAATGACACAACTGAAAGATTTACCTTCTGAATTTCGTCTCACAGGATTGGAGGTAATTAGCAGCTAAATTTTATACAGGGAAAACAGATCACGATGTAAAATTGTCATGGTTATTTTTAAACATTGATAGTCTTTACTGAGGAAAGGAGCAGTAAGAAGATATGAGATAACAAGGTGTAGAGCTGGATGAACACAGCAGGCCAAGCAGCATCATAGGAGCAGGAAAGCTGACGTTTCAGGCCTAGACCCTTCTACAGAAATGGGGGAGGGGAAGGGGGTTCTGAAATAAATAGGGAGAGAGGGGGAGGCGGATAGAAGATGGACAGAGGAGAAGATAGATGGAGAGGAGACAGACAGGTCAAAGAGGCGGGGATGGAGCCAGTAAAGGTGAGTGTAGG